GTAATGAATGTCATTGTCCCTTATTACATTTGTGGAATTTTAAAAAGAATACGGATCAATTTAAAATAAACAAATTTAAAGAAATATTTGGCCAAAAAAAAAATCAAACGACAAAATAACAATTGTGATTATAAACTGAAATTAAAAATTAAGATTTCAAAATTCAACTAATGAATGTCATTGTCTCTTATTACATTGCTAATCAATTAATAATTTGTTATAAAGTTACACTAATAACAATAAACACACTTGATAATTTAAAATAAGGGGCAATTGCAAAAATGCCATTTTTGGTGTGTACATTTGCAAAAATGCCACTTATAGGTGTCCATTTGTAAAAATGCCACTAATTATGAATTTGTAAAGCCTAAATCTTAAAATTATAAACCCTAAAAAATGATTTCACCCCTAAAACCCCTTAAACCTTCAAAACTAAACTCTAATACAACATAGTTAACCCAAATATAAATGATATAATGAAAAAATAATTTTGAAAAGTGGTATTTTTGTAAAGTGACACTAGAAAAATGACATTCGCTATATCCAAGCGCTTCCGAAAACGCCATTCGCTATATCCAAGCGCTTCCGAAATTGGTATGGCTTTCGTTTTACAATGCATACATGGGACCTGTTTTGTGTTTTGCACAAGGGTTAAAGAATCTGAAGATTCTAGATATAGTTCAGATGAAACATCTGACACAAGTTGTAATAGAAGATGGTGCAATGTTTGAGCTTCAGAAACTCCATGTCAGAGATTGCAGAGGGTTAGAGTCGGTACCAAAAGGAATTGAGAATCTTGTAAACCTTCAAGAACTGCATTTGAGTCATGTTTCTTATCAGCTAGTAGAACGGATTCGCGGAGAAAGGAGTGTAGACCGGTCAAGGGTTAAACACATTCCTACCATTAAGCATCATTTCAGAAATGATGATGGCTCTTTCTATGTAAGCCTTTCATCTTAAGTGGCTAGACAAGACAAGCTTTACGATTAGTAGCTTCCTAGTGCATTTCAAAGTAGACTAGATTCTATGTTAACGTCCCTGCTTATTGGTTAATCTTTTTTGCCACTTATTTGAGCTCACTTATTATATTTTAAACAATTTTTTTTACATTATCAAACTAGGGTTTTTACTTTGCCAGCATCATTTAGGGTTTCCGAGTATTTAATTGTTACATATACAGCCGCAAGAAATCAGAGGAAAGGGGAAAAAGTGTTTTTAGAAGTTGACAAAAAAAAAATCAGAGAATAATTGAATTTGAGATTAACGTGGGCAAGAGTTGTGGTTTTCTACTTGGTTTGATTTGACGGACGGGATAATTTCTCCGATCATCGGAACAAACAATCAGTATTAAGTTTAGAGAAAAAAGTACGAAGATCAACAACGACCACATCTAAAGAGTGTGTCATTAAAAAAGAAGATAATCTTTGACTTGTTATTAAAACTACTAAGACCATCTTTTGTATCTCAACAACACCAAACTAGTCCAAAAAAAAATAAGAGTCGTGGTGGACCTGGTGGTGCTTAAACTAGTCCAAAAAGAATAAGACTCATGGATCGTGGTGGTGCCTATCCTATTGAAAACTGAAAATGAACCACTTGATTATAGTGAACATAAAGGTGCAAGTGTCTAAGCACGACTTGCCTTTGCTCTCAGTTCCAAGGGATAAGATAAACAATGAGAGCAAATGCAAAAGAAACTCATGTGATCACAAACAAACCACAGAGTTTGTTAACAGTGAGAGGATATCAGACTTATCCTCGCTTGTCTTCGGAACCACTAATTGTCCATGGCTTGTAGCCTCTCTCTCTGTTCTCCTCAGCATTGCGATTACTCTTGACACCTTTTGAACCAAAGGAGAACCTTTTTGGAAACACTGGAGGAAGAATGGATGCAAAGTAACTAAGAGGGTATTAATTATACCATCCATAATGTTAAGACAAATGTCTTCTTCTGCTATTGTTGATGAAACTACCAGAATTCCAGGCTTCTCTCACCTCTTCCTATCATATTCACGACCTCAAACTTGTCTGAGACCAACTTTCTGTCCACGTATCTGATCTCACCAGTCACCAGTCACCCCAGATCTCTTTGACAAAGTTGAGATGAAATCGAGAAGATGAAGAAATCGAA